GTGAGAATCGAATGTGATTCTCAAAGCGAGAATGGCAAGTTAACCTAAATGAGAGGGGCACTATACAAAACTACGCCGTGTTGATACATGATTGTATGATACTCAAGGCAGTCAACTTGTTAAGGCGAGAAAAATGAGTACAATAAGTACATAAATAATACAGACCACTTTCATCTGTCATAATTTTTTTTTATTTGGGACCTTTTCATTTTATACACGATGGGTTCAAATCTTGAAATATTCGAGTAAAAAGTAGAACTTTTTAAAATTAAGTATTGAAAATGTTCCGTAAATATTGTGTCTTTTGAACATATGTTAAATTTAAGTTTATGTTACATACTATAAGTTAAAAAAAAAATTGTCCCAAAGACTTATCTTCTTTGTGCAAATGATCATCGAAGTTGAACAAAAAAATGAGTTAATTTTGCTTATATAATAATCCAAATGAAAAATTTGAAAACAGTGTGAAATATTGATTTAGAAAAGTTTATTTTAGTTTACGTTGAAAATTACTTGTAGACAAATACATTTATTCATAATTAACCAATCATTTTTTTTTTAAAGTACTGCACAAGCTCTTTAATTTGTATAAACGTTTATCATAAAAGTAGTTATAATTTAATAAATTTTTTATAATTTCTTAGTAAAAATTACATTATTAAATTATTAAATATCAGCTCATACTATATTTAATCGCTATAGTAAATATTTATTGATACATTACACTTATAAATCATAAAGTAATCATAAGTAGTGTGCCGATTACATCATAATAATTATTTCAAATTATCCTATTGTAATAAAGTTTAAAATATTCATTTCAATCTTGTGATTATTTTATTTTTCCGATCTAAAAAGAAAAAAAAATGATAATTTTATAACAGTTTTAATGATAAAAATGATAATCGATTTGAATAAATAATAAAAGACGAAATAAACTCGTGAAATTAAAAAAAAATCATATTATCTGTGGGTTTTCCAGTTTTTCTCGTTATGTAATCGTTTAAACTAAAAATGAACTATTTCACAGAACTCCTAGTAAAATTTCAATACAACTTGATGCGTCACACTAAAGTGAAATTTTTTCCAACTTTTAACCCAAAGTTCAGGGGAGGGCACGAAAGTTACTAAAAATCGAGTGACCACTTAATTTGTATGAGAATTTCGTGGGAAATACCATTGTAATGTTTATTTTTTATTAAAACAAAATTTAAAGTGGGGGAACCAGAAAACCCCCAATTTTGGAGATAGGAAATTTTAGTTATCGATTTCGCTATTTTTAGGTCCTACTGAATATCATCCTACTACTCGTGATAATATTACTCGTTACTAACATTCTGTATATCTATACTAAATCAAAAGATAATACGTTATCATATGTAGCCTAATTAATCTAAATTATTAAGACAAAATAAATTGTTCATATTAAGAACTAAGTATTTTCGAAGCTATTTATGAAGTTTTATAACTTTCTGAAATATCCTTAATGCGAGAATAAAAAATGTACAAAATGTATCAACTAACTTCGGTCGCCCCTGTATTATAATCGCAATTTTACTTATAAGTAATCAAGTCTATGTTGTATGTCTGTAGTACCCCGACGTCAATACAAAAAAAGTACACAGATTAATTAATATTTTTAATGACGAGTTCGTCGTTTTTGGCTCTTTTCGAGTCCTCCCGCTGGAGGAGCAACACTGGTGAGCCCTAATCTCTATAATTAGTGAACCACTAAAGGGGTAGGTTTAAGTCTCGTCAGCACGGTCTAGTTCAAAAGTAGCAGACTAAAGGGCGGTTCCTCGTCAGCTACCAGTAAAACTACCTTGTCACTATACCTAATTAAAGACGGTTAAGACCAAAAACTAACCAGCACACACGCTAATTGTTAAGATCAACTAAATGACCAGCAGTCGAACCTTGTCTCTTGCCGCACACACACACAATATTAATAACACGGTGGATATAAAATATTCACGCTAAGTGCAGGTTTTTGAATAGTTATCTTTTATTTACGGAACAAAATAAACATAAAATTAAATTACAATATAAAAATGTAACACAATATAAATTGTTGTTGAAAATACAAAGTTACACGCACCAAATATCCTGACCCGTAACTAGACGTTTCTTAGTCAAAACGTTAATCTCCTTTACTTTTCATGTTTTACTTAATACATACTTTTTCCCACCATTGTTAATTTTCTAACCCTGCATTTTTCCTTTATATGACATTATATTACNCTTTTTCCCACCATTGTTAATTTTCTAACCCTGCATTTTTCCTTTATATGACATTATATTACTTAAAAATTAAAAAATTGTCTAATACTGTGTTAACTCTTATACTATTTTAATATTAAAGTTATTTAATACTTTCTCAACTATTTACTTCAGCTACTTTAACAAGTTTTGTTACTTATGTTATACAGTATTTGATTTTCCATGAAAAAGTAAACAAACGTACTTGTCATTATGGAAGATATTTAAATTATTGCTCATTTTTTTTTATTTTTAAAATTTTTATTTTATAGGTTTTGCCATAATCGCAATACGATAGTATTGCAACCATCGCATAGTTTCATAGTTTTATTTTAAGTTTTTAGTTTGAACGAGTAGGTTTTATTTTTATATTTAAAAACATATCACTGTTATGATATTAAAAAGTATAATAAGTGAATACTTCACAGCTTTAAAATTAATACTTTTTTGTCTGGAGCGCAGGTTTTAGTTTTTTAATTTAAAATTACATTAAATGCACAATAATATTTTGTAATTCGTATAAGAGATGATAACGTCATCCTGATAAAGTGTAGTGAAAATAAATGTACAAAAAAAATAACGTACATTATTTTTATAAAATTTTATATTTTGAAATTATTTTTTAATTTTAAAATTAAATTTTAGAAGAATATAACAAAATCGAGGCAGAAAAAATAGAAAAAACCAAAAAAGCCGAAGAAGACAAAAAGGCCGAAGAAGCCAAAAAAGCCGAAGAAGTCAAAAAATCTGAAGAAGCCAAAAAAGCTGAAGAAGCCAAAAAAAATAAAAAATATAGAGCTCTAAAAATGTTTTTATGTAATAAATATGGAGAATCATCGAGTTATGATGATTAATATAATTTCTTTGATTTATTTAAAGAAACGGCAATGAATATTTCTATAGCATGATTAATCACGGAAATATTTTTAATGATTTATTTTTAATTCAAAGCTCAATTTATAATAACTTTATATTTACTTTTATAATAAAGTGATAATTGTAATAATAATAATTTAACTGCCTTTAAAATTTCATCTTCATTTTAATTAATTGTGTTAGCTCTTATTATAGTACGTAATATTGTTTTGTAAAATAATTAACCTTGTGTTTCTATTATGATATTAAATATACTATTAATTTGAAATTAAATACTTATGTAGCGGTAATCATTATTTTTTTAAAATATTAAAATATTTTAGTACTGGAAAATATAAATAAAATCTGTGATATTGTAATGAATCAAAATAGAAGTTTCAAGAATATTCGAGAAACTTCTAGAATAATCTTTCCACATAAATAATTATCAATTTTAAATACTTTTCTGACCGACAATTATTTTATTACTTTTTACAAATATATCACTTATTCGGAGCGAAGTTTACATTAATGTCAATCTTTTTAATTACCATAAGCGTATCTTTGGAGCCGAACAGACGGCAGCATTAAATAGTTTAATTCTTAAGAAAAACTAGTCTCTCTTCATCACCTTAAAAACTAGTTTAATATAAAAGGGCTAGTCAAATTAGCACATCAGGCACACTCTCATACTCTCACTTTCATTCTCACTTATTATTCCCCCATACTCTGACACTTTCATATTAAAAGTTAATAATGTAAAATTCATGTTACTTTTGTTAATTTGCATACAAAGCATAAGGGATGAACTTAAAATGTATTAAAAGTTAATAATTCAAAAACAATGTATAACTATTGAAAACCAAAAAAAAAAAATATATATAAATTTAAGTTATATTTATTCTGTTTGATGACAGCNGTCAATGAAAGTACTAGTTTTTCTTTACATAATTGACATTTAAATTAGAATGTTGCTGTCATCGATTTTTTTTTGTGATCTGGAAAAACTTTTCGATATTTCTGAACGACCTAAAACATGTTAAGTATAAATTAGTAATTTAGCAATCCGTTCTATATATTTTATTGCAATTTACTTGAAGTATAAATTGTTTTTGTGCTTCATTTTTCGTTAGTTTATCATTGAACTCCTCCATCAATTTCACACCCCTTTCAGCAGTGTCATTTACAACACGGATTGATTTAACTATTTTTTTCGCTTCTTGGTAATACTTATCACCTTCCTAATTCGAGGAGTTTAATTTCAAAAATTCTGTATCGATATTAAATCTTATAAAAAAATATCCCGAACTTTGTTCAAGTATATCTGTAAAAAACTCTTGTTTCAGAAACGTCTCCACATTATCTATTTTTAAAAAATATTTTTTTGGACCAAAATCGCTTTGATCTGATGGGTAAGTAGATAAATTATTTAAAATAATTTTTGCCATTTTATTTCGGGTTTCTAACGAAACTCTATTATCAAATATTGAAAAAACAATACATTCTTGATTAAAGTACCACAAATGATTTAAAAATTTTTTTAAACACGAATCTGCAATAATTTTATCATCATTTTTATATTCATATAGAGTCCTTATTAAGTGCATATCGTTTAGTGGCGCTTCACATGATTGGTCAGCCATAGACCACGGCCTTATATAAATTTTTATAATAAATGCACATATTCTGCATATTGCAGTCTCTTCCTACTTGGATAATTTTNCCGACTTGGATAATTTGAATTCTTGTTGAAGTAAAAAAATTTTCAAACAATAAATGCCTTTAGCCATCCATCTTGCTTGATGATAAGCCCCAGGTTGCCTAATAATAATACCTCCTGGTGGTGATCCTCCTAGAATTATAATTACAAGCTCTAAAAACTCTTTATAGTCATTTCTAGGATGTTTTTTCAAAATCGCCTCCTGACAAAATAATAAAATGTTTTCGCGTTTAGGAGATACAATATTTTCCAAATTTAGCATTTGGAATANATTTTCCAAATTTTTATTTGTATTCCAAATGCTAATATTCTTAGTATTAATATTATTCCAAGTACTTTTAAATCTTTTAAATAGGGCAATATCTGGGCCTGATGATACATGAAGTTTCGTTTCAGCAATTGCAGTTTGGAGAGCAACTCGTAAACATGGTGGCGGCATGCAAGATATAAAATATCCCTATCTAACTTTTGTTCTAAAAGTGTACAAGCCCCGTTTATACGCCCAGTATTCGATGCTGTTGTATCGAATACAAATGCTTGAACTTTGTCCAATAAAGACCACTTTGCAAGGTTATCATATACTGCAGATGATATTTCTAGCCCTGTTCCAGATGGTATTTGAGGGACACCAAGTAACTGCTCTAAATCAGGGCTAGTTATAATTACTGGTAGACGATCTACTTTGTCTTGACCAGTCAAATCGGGTAGTAATTTACCATCCCAGTGAACTACCACAAAATTAACTTTTTTGTTTAAAAAATCAGACTTTACCTTATCTGCGCTTTCCTTCCGAAAATGTTGCCGAATATTTTTAATGGATGTTCTATTTAAAATGTAATTATTTTGATCGATGGATAAACTATCAAGGCACGCAGATAGTATATGAACGGCATCACGGTCGCTAATTTTGCATTTGTCTAATGCAGCTGATAATCTAGGTATAATTAACTGAATTGTGCCTCTATTTGTACCAGAAGGACCTGGTTGAGGTTCTTCTAAAATCAGGTTTTCATTGTTTAACTCCTCCGAACTTACTGACCTATCTGACAGTGTTTCAACTAAAACGATACCAATAAATAAAATTAAAAATCACGTGTATCTAATTTAAATATTTTAATTATGTTATATCTTAAATTACCTGAGAATAACTTTAAGGCTTCTGATTCATGTTTTCTTTTTTTATTCAATTCTTTTTCAATTTTTTTTTCTTTTCTTTTTTCTTTAGCATCAAGAACCATATCTACACCAAGCATACAACCGGGGCGTCCGGGGAGTCTCTGTGAGAGCAAAAATTTTCTATCTTCTGCAATACTTATTATATTTAGTGCATCTTGATGAGCAATATCGAAAAGATTATTTAGACTTTCTATATAATTTTTTTCTTTATTTTTTTGATGTTCGCTTCCATGGTTTTTACTTTTTTCCAGTGCCCTCCAAGCGTCATATTCCTTTTTCAACTTTTTTACACAGTGTGATTTATCTTTTGTTGGAATCCGTGCTTTTCTCCAAAAAATTAAACATTCCTCTATTACTAGTAGACAACTTTCAGACAACGTCATTTTGGCAAAACGCATGTTATAAAATAATACACGCATACAGTCACCTATGGAGGGTAATTTGCTGCCAAGAATTTGAATATTAGTTGGGCCAATTAAATAAATAAATTCTCGCGTCATTTTCAAATATCTCAAAAAAATTAATTAAGCTGAATAAATGAATAAATAAAAAACACTAAACAATACCAAAACGCATGAACCGCGGAACAAACGAGTAAAAAAAACAAGTTGTAAATAAAAGTGGCGAATGATTAGATAATAAATTGATCGTATTACTAAAGTAGCCAAACTTATCAAAATTTTCCAGTTATTGTGATCATTATCAAATAATGTAAAAGGTCTAAAGTGCAACAATGAACACAATAATCTTGCTTAGTGACAAAAAATTGGAAAATTTCAGCAATAAATAAACTAGATATTCACAACATGTTTAAATGTCAATTATGTAAAGAAATACTAGTACTTTCATTGACACCTTAGTATGCTAATTTATAAAATGCATTTTTTTTAACTTATATTATAGAGTATATTTTATAATCTTTTTATGATTTATTTTGTATATATTATAATCAGTTGTCCCTGTAAACGTAAATACTTTTATAATTGTTTGATGTACCGAACTATTCAAATATTTTTTTGTTTTCGTCCTGGCGAGGAAAAAAATCAACCTACGAGAATTTGTAAAGATACAATTTATATAGAAAATATTAAGGTCTATAATTTTTATTCAATACAATTTTTCGTTTTGAGCTTTTGTTGTTGAGATATTAGCCGAAAACTAAAAAACCACCCTATTCAGTGGATTTTCAACCCTCATTCGGCACCCGAAGGGGGTAAGTAAATCTTACGAAACTCAACAAAAATCATTATTATCTAAAAATAAACAAAATTAGGGGGTGCTGCACAATTTATTATAAAGTTGAAAAATAAGGACCAGCCTAATGTACACCTTCATTCTATTTATGTATCCTAATTATACCCGTACTTTTCACACTACTATTTTATACACGTTTACCATAAAAGTAATAACTACTTTATAATATTTTATATATTCTCCGAGAAAATTAGAACACTAAATTATTATATTTCAACATGGTACTACATTTAATTGCAATAATAAATTCATATATTACACTTATAAATTAAAGAACTACTAATCAGGAATAATGAAGGAAATAGGAATTCATTTTGCTTTTGGTATGATCCACGTATTTTTTAAAATATTTTAGTATTTTTGTATGTGCCAAGTTGTAAGAATTTTAATCTAGAATCATTTAAAAAGTATTTCTATTTGTCATCTAGATACAAAATATTAGTTATTTTCTTTTTCAATACAAATATAAAAATAAAAATTTTCAAATTCCCTATTAATTTTATATATTTATATATATATAAAGTGATAAAAAAAATTATATTCTGATTATTGTTATTATTCCTTCGAACTCTCAAAAATTTGTTTAAACCAAGTAATTATTCTTTTTATTTTAATTAAAATTTTTATAAATTTATTTTATTTTATTATCAGTTAAATTAGTGTTTAAAAATCTAATTTTTGTAAGTTTTAACAATAAAACAAATTTTAATTTATTAATTATTCAGTAAAATTTTATTTTATTACAGTTTATGAGCCTTACTAAAATTTGGTTGAGTTTAAAATGTTCACAGCGGATTCTTAACACATTTAGTTTTTGGTGCTTAATAATTTTAGTTAGCTTGAAATATAAAACACGTTCTATTGTATCTACTAGAGCACAACGATTGTACTACTTCAATATAAGCATTATTTTTGCAATGACATATTTATTAACAATAAGACACACCTTTCTTAGGAAACTACTGAAAATTTTGTATTTTCGAATGTTTGATTCAAAAAACTATAATAATATGAACATGAATAATTTTTTTTTTCGTTAATTCAAGGATAAAAAAATCATAAGTTTAATGGAAACCTCTATTTTTAATTTGATGATAATTTTATATTGTTCTTAAAATATTAGCTATGTAATTATTTTAAGATTGATTTCTTATGCCTTGTCAGAGTGTCATTTTTTTTTTTCAAATAAAAACAAATATATTGCATTTAATAAAATGATTAAGAATTATTTTTAATAGTAAATGGGTATTTAAATTTTTATTCTAACTTCAATCATTTATAGACACTTTAAAGTTTCGAATTTTTTTTTAAAAATACATGTTTATTATTCTAACTGATAGCTAATTGTTTTTATCACTTTTTACGGTAATTTTTCCTGATAATGAGTTAAATAAAAATAAAATTGTAATAAAAAAGATTAAAGAATTTTGGGTTTTTTGACGCATATATCAACAAAATCAAAAAGCCCACTGATAGCTGCAAATTATCATAGACATAGAAAAAAAAAAGAACTAATTAAATGAAATTCCAATTAGGTATTGCATTATCTCCCTTTTCTATCACTAAAAAGTTTAATTCATTTATGAGGATTACAAATGAAGTATCCACAGCTCCCATGCAAACTATGCCAAGGATGTTATTTAATTATCAAATATAATTGAATTTATATTATTGTTTATTTTTATGTTCGAAGATATTTTAGATGGATTTCATTATTAAAATTGCTGAAATGAATTTTTACTTGGGATTATTCATTGGTAATATAAAATGTTAAGAACAATTTTTTTTATAATTATTATTAACAATATAATATAATGCATAATATATAATAGAGGATATACAAGCAAGGTGACGCTTGAGGTAAAAGATCCTATTGAATTAAAAAATATACAGGGTGTTCAGTAATGTTTACGGACATTGGAAATATTTTACATTTATTAATCAAACAATGAAAAATTGTTCAAAAATTATTTTAAATGAATACATATGAATGTTTAAAAGGGCGCTTATATACATTTTTAATAACGATATAATATTGTTATTTTACGTTGTATGATTTGAATTTATATATGAATAATAAACAATTTTTTTAAAGCAATTACTAACGAGAAAGTTAGTGTTTTTCGTTCCTATTAGTTGAATAGCTCTGAAATAAAAAAAACCTAATAACTATCCAGGAGCATACTATAGTCATCTGGTCATCTGGTTGATTTCCTGTTTTAATAACTTTTTAACTCGTTGTTATTATTTATTTTAGTTACTCGATTAATCAATTAAAAACTATACGTAATATATCCAACATTTCTTACGGGGAATACATTACCTGATTAACTTACTTTACTTATATATTTTAATTATTTCATAATTTATATTTTATTTTATTTAATTTCATATATCACTAATTTTATATTAGTTTTATTGCAAAATTATTTTTTATACAGAATAAATAGTAAAACATGGTTAATACTTATTTAACTGTTCAAAATTTATTAGTATTTAAGGGCCCCTCGTTACTCCTTAAATTTAAGATACTCTTTGAAGAACTTCTAATTTTTGTTAGAAGTTATTTGTCATTTAATTATTGTCTACTCTCGTTACTTATTGGATGTGCCATCTGCCGTCATTTCCCAGGTGACTCACTCCTACTTCAATAATAGAGATTTAAATAGGCTTAAGGTAAAACGATATTTTAGTGCGGTGCACTGCAAGCCGTCCTACGGTCTAGCTACCTCGTACTAAACATCTGTAGTAACACGAATTACGTCGCAATAATGTATTCGATACTGATTTTGAGGGTAGAGATCCGTGGGCCGTTTATTATTCAATAACACCAGGTTATTTAAAAACATACAAATCGAATAAATATAGTTTAAAAAAACTAAAAAACACGCTTTTAAAGCACATTGAACTAAAAAGTTCAAAATAATTTTTAAAATA